TGTAAACAATGTATGCTAGCCTCACAGATTTCAGATGTATACTATTCAAAATATCAGCAACTATGCAATATAATCAAACAATATCTAACTTCTCCTCTCTTGACATCCAGATGTTCACAAACAATAGAAAGAGAACAGAGAATGACACAGAACAAAGAAACCTGCAACAAATCTCATGACTGACTATTTAAAATGAAACAAGGAATAGAATGCCAAGTAGCCTGTGTATACCATCAATGCAAGTGCCTGTGTGTACCAGAAACCTCCCAGAATATTGAATCACCCAATAAAGTAATTATTAGTGCAATGGATTACGCACCTTAAAACCGTATACAATTCCAGCCTATAATACCCTTGCAGCAGGCACTCTATAGCAGCTCTTTTCTTCAGAACAGCTTATCCTCAGGATTTGAAGGAACAAGTTTGCCCAACTCAGATTTGAAGTGGATGGCAGTGCCACAAGATGCAACTTTCCAAATATGAACTTTCTAACAACTTTTAGAAAAGTAACATCAATCTCTGATTCTATAGCAATGCAGAGTGTTTGAGACATATATTTTATAGGAAAAAAAGAAACCAAATCACAATCAAGATTCTCCAAAGCTATGTGGTTAACTGTTAGCAGATGGGGAAATAATGAAACAATAAATTTGAGACTTTAAAAATAATCAGAACACAGCTCCTTTAGGCTGCATATTTAATTGAGATGCCAACCAGCAAGTAAGCAGCATTTCAGAGATACAAGTACAGTAGTGAAAGATTTCACTTGCTTCAGGTAAGCATGCAATTTAAAGCATTCAAAGCACAGCATTACCAATCTCTAATTTCCCATTATTTTCTTCTGCCCCAGAACTTTTAGATTTATCTACTACATCCATTAATTTTCATTGTAACTTCATATTATTGGAGAATTTAACTGTATCTCCATCCCATTTTAAATAAAAAAACATATGTAGGCACCTATTTTAAGGTTTTGGCTAAGGGGGGACAAAGTAACTAATGGGAAAAATATATTTAGACCACCAAATAAATAAATAAATATTATATCCCAGTTTCCCAGGAGCCACAAACACTGCTCTGAAATCACTATAATTGTAAAAACATTAGCTCAGTTCTGAAATTCTGTTAAGGACATTTTGTAAGGGATAGTTAAAATGACTCAAGGAAAAAAAAGGAAGAGTGAATGACAAAATTCACAGTTAAGCAATCAAAAATATCACAAAACAACGAACGAACTTTGATGTTTCCCAGAACTTTTATGAAAGGAGAGAAGGTGAGAAAACGGAGAAAAAGCTTGTAACTATCAAAGTCACCACCTGGGTGTTTAGTCACAGTAGAGTCACAATCTAGAAAATAGAGTACAGAAGAGAAAAATAAGACCTGAACAAACTACTAACAGTGTGAAACTCTTCTCTCACAAATGCAGACAGACAACCATGCTATTACATGCCATTCTCATCAGTTCCTTTCCACCTTTTATTCCAAAGTGACATAGTGATGCAAAAGCCAGTGTGGTGTAGTGGTTAGAGTATTGGTGTAGTGGTTAGAGTATTGGAATGGCATCAAAGAGACTCAGAATCAAGTCCATGTTCAGCCACAGAAGTTCACTGGGTGACTTTGGACCAGTCATTCACTCTCAGCCCAACCTACTCACAGTGTTGTTGAATGATTGTTAGGTTCACCATCTTGAGTTTTTGAAAGAAAGGTGAGATAAATTAATCTCATAAATAAATAAAAAATGTTGGATCACTGGCAGTTTTTTGGGGGGGGTAATAGATCCTCTTCAGAGGATTTGTTCCCTTAAAAATATATTGCACTTCTGTTAATCCTCTTCTCATATAAATAATGTTACTTTAGCTATATGAGGACTGGGTCTCAGATAACATCAGCCATTCAAGGTAGGCCAGGTCAAGAAAGAGATACTACAGGGATTTCAGGAATAGTACTTTATTGTTGTAGGGGATAATAACAGAACCTTGAAAGCCAATCCAAGTTTATCTGTCCCATTTTATATTAAAGAAAATCAATGTGAGATTATTTTCTTTCTCAAGAGGTTTTCAATTTCTGGACTGTGTAATCTCCTCTCCAAGAATTTCCGTTTGTTCCTTCCTTCTTCATTTAATGGCTCTTTCAAGCCATTTCCAAAGTCAACTCTAAATCCCTTTACATTCACTCTGCTACTAATAGACATATATATAGATATAGATATATAGATATAGATATTTCATAAATTTTACCAGGATCTGATGGGACTTACTCCCAGGTAATAAAACTACACCATCAGACTAATATGTTCTACTGTTAATAATATTGATATCAGAGGGAAACAGTATAAAAAGAAGAGGCACTTCCAAGTGCTTCAATTACCCAACCCCTATCACACATCCTCATGGCTTGTAACTGGAACTCATTTTAGAATCTTTGTCTAGAGCCAGTGGACTATACCTAATTCATATACTTATCAGCCAATAGTTGGCATATTTGGCACAATACTGAAGTTACTGGGCTGCAACAATGATAGCTAAAGAAAAACCTAAAAAAACTACCACAATGTTTGGAACATAATTCACTTAGCTCCCCAATCATAACGAACACAATTTTATTCTTCATTCCCACAACAAATGAAACAGTGAGGATGCCAGCGAGAATCAGGAAATGACCAAGAACAGCATAAAAGACAAGCACAACACTAAAGGCAATGTCACTCTGATATTCCTTGCTTCTGAATATTTCAGACTTAATAAATATTCAGATCACCATCTTACCCTAATGCCCAAAGATGTTGGCTTTTGATTTCTAAAAGCCATCCAACCTGAGGATTATGGGACATGAAAGCTAATATATCTAGAGATCACAAAGCTGAGGAAGACTGACTACTCTAAAGTTGAAATATCTTCATATGAGATCTCTTTCTCGTAATGTAGGGTTTCCTCTATTCTATCAAGATAAACAACTTGCTAACTGGGAGTTTATACAATCTATTCACAAACTAAAATCAGAGCATATAATTACTGGTATAAAATTAATGAAATGGAATCCGATAGACTTCCTAGATTGTGTTTATTAGAACAGATAAAATCCCAACGACAGACCACTTGGATCACACAATTGATAAATTTT